TGATGATAGTTGTCTCTGGTCCGATGGTGGGAGTTGTGAAGGAGATTCTATGGATGGTGGTTTTTTCTGATCAGATGATGAGAGTTGTAAAGGAAAGTCTATGGACGGTTCTTGTCTCTGATCCGATGGTGGTAGTTGTGAAGAAAAATCTTCGGACGATTGTTGTCTCTGATCCGTCCGAAGACTTTCCTTCACAACTACCACCATCGATTGTTGTCTCTGATCAGATGATTGGAGTTGCGAAGGAAATTCTACGGATGGTTGTTGACTCTGATCAGGTGGAGGGGGTTGAGAATGAAATTCTACGGACGGTTGTTGTCTCTGATTAGGTTGAGGGGGTTGAGAAGATTCTTTACGAAAAGCCTGTGATAAGGGCAATGTATTTGGTGCACGTCGTTTGGACCACTCTGCTAACTTTTCAGGCGTAAGTTTCAAAGTATTAATATTAAAATTGAAATTCTTTGATGAATTCGTAAAAGACATTTTTCACACAAAGTAGATGTAAAGAAAAGAAGTAATTTTATTATAAATAAATTTTATTACAATAAAAGAAAAGAAGTAATTTTATTATTATAAATAAATTTTATTACAGTATCAGTTATTATAAAATTTCATAATACATAATAAGAAGGTTAATCATAAATCGCCCACCACTGACTTCAGTAAAATTATGCAATACGTGAACGTGATTTGTTTTGAAGAGTAGTGAGTAAAAAATTTTAAACTTTTATTAAACGCGTCCATGGTTATACCGGTAATAAGTGTTATGCAAAAATCTCAAACCTTAACAGTTAAGTTTAACCCTTGACGTATTATCTTCTAGACCTAAAAATACCAAAAATGCATTTATAATATAAATGAAATACTTTTATTAACTTTTATTAACGTTAACCTTTTTACATATTCCGAGAATTCTAATATTAGACAATTGAGCAACAATCTATTTTAACTTCTTTGTGATAAACAACCAATCATGCCATTTTCTCTTTGTATATCATACGTCACTCACTTTAAACTCTTTTCAAGGACAAACGATAATGTGGTCACAAAATTTAGTAGACAAGGTTAAAATGATCTGAATGTAAATATCTCCATAATTAGACAATTCTCTAAACACGAGAAACACAAGCAATATATTTTATGTCTTATTATGCAATTGAAATTGTCATAATGGTAAGACAATTTTTGTTTACCATAGTTTTTTTTATCTCTACAAACAAAAGAAGGCATTGCCTTCTATTTATCTCTCACTTAATCTTACTCTTTTGACTTTTCGCCTTCCTTTTTTCGCTTAGCCGCTCTTTCTAATTTTTACTTGTACAGTTTTAATACTTCGTAAATATTTACGATCGTAATAATTTTCCCTTCCAATCTTTCTCTTCTTTAAACCGTTCATTAGTAGTCCGGCAGGCCGTTGCTAAAAGTTTTTTTCCCTGTTCTTCTGTTCTTAAAATCCTTTTTTTTTTTTTTCTTTAATTTAATATCACTTAGGGTGTGTTTAAATGAACTTTATAAAATTTATATAAAAACAATAGAATTTATATAGAAAAAGTCATACCCTTATATTTTTCGACCTGTATAATAACCCTTGTATTTTTAACTTAACCTTACCCACCCCCCTACGTACGTTTAAATGGGTTCCGGCTGTTGTAAAGAGGAGGAAATAGATTTTGATGCAGAAGGTATGTATTTATTTTAATAATGAAAGATATATTAAAAATTTAATATAACTTAAATTTGTAAATTTTTTTTTTGCATTAAATGTAGTCGAGTTATCGCATTTTCATTTGTTAAGATCTGTAGGAAAGGGTGCGTTCGGGAAGGTATTTATTTATATATTATATATAAATCATTGTTTTTTTTTTTTTAATTGTTGATCTAATTCATCCTAATTATTCATTAAATACTTTCTTAATCAGGTCCGAGTAGTGCAGCATAAAAGATCCAAAATTATATATGCACTTAAATATATCAATAAAGCAAAATGTATAAAAATGCGTGCTGTAGAAAATATTATACAAGAACGTCGTTTACTTGAAGAAATTGAATATCCTCTAGTTTGCAATTTACGTTACGCTTTTCAAGATGATGAAAATTTATTCATGGTACTTGACCTTATGTTAGGTGGTGATTTAAGATTTCATTTGGAACGACAAGCTTGTATGAAAGAAGATGTTGTAAAATTTTATGTTGCTGAAGTTAGCTTGGGTTTACATTATTTACACTCTAAAAAGATTGTTCATAGGTATATATATATATATATATATTATATATGTTTTTTTTATTATTTTATTTAAAATTTTAATAACTTATTATAAATTATTTATCTATTTATATAGAGATCTAAAACCTGATAATGTTCTTTTGGATGAAAAAGGTCATGCTCATCTGACTGATTTTAACATAGCTGTTCATTTTAATGAAAGAAAACCTCTTACATCAGTTGCTGGTTCTATGGCATATATGGGTATGTGTCTCATATTGTTTTTTTTTATAAGTCCTGTTTCATTAAATTTATTTAAAATTTTTTTTTTTTTTCTTCTTTTAGCTCCAGAAATACTGTCTAAAAAAGGTTATTTTGATTCGGTTGATTGGTGGTCACTCGGTGTTATTATGTATGAACTTTTATTTAGCAAGGTATTACATAATTTATGTTTTTTCAATTATCTTTTGCCTTTTTTTTTTTTTTGTTCTAAAAAATCGATATTTTCTATTATAATATTAGAGACCATTTCGTGGAAAATCAAACGCCCAATTAACACAGGCAATCCTTAATGAACCTCTTATGTTTCCAGATAATGTTTATGACATAGTTTCCAGAGAATGTATTGATTGTTTAAAACGAGTACGTGAAATATCACTTTGTTTCATGTTATTTTTTCATATATATATATATATATGTATTAACTCGTTTCGTTCGTTTGTTTAAATAGTTTTGTGAACGGGATATAAACAAGCGTCTTGGATGTGGTCCTAACGGCTTGGAAGATATCAAACGTCATCCATGGTTCAAAGATATAGAATGGGACAAACTTGATACCAAACAAGCTAAAGCACCGTTTATTCCAGATGTAAGTAATATTAATATATTTATTTATATTAACAAAAATTTTTTAATTTATAATTTTTAATTCATTTCTTATTTTTTTTTTTTTTAGTCTAAACGCGCTAATTTTGATGCAACTCATGAGCTTGAAGAACTTCTCCTTGAAGATAATCCTCTTAAAGCTAAAAAACGTGCAAATGTTAATCAAGATCTTAGTGAACTTTCAAAAGAAATGAGAATGATGGAAGAAAAATTCTTGATATATGATTTTACAAAGATGTGTAGAAGAAGTTATTATATAGTTCCTAATACTGAGAAAAAAAATAGGCGAAAAAGTGAAAGAAGTAGTGGATCTACAACAGTTGATCGATTAATAAATAATCAATCTAATACTGCTATTCAAATTGATAGTACAGATACAGATAATACACCAAGATTTCCATCTGTGGTAAGATTACCACATACACGTACTGAATCTGATCTGACTGCTATAGGTTACTAATATAATTTATATATAACTGTAATCATTATTAAAAAAATGTTTGGTTATTTATAGCCATCAAATTTTCAAAGAACAAATATTTAAAAACAAAAAAAAAAAAAATTATCATCACTCATCAAACAACAAACTAAATAATACGTACTTAAATAATTTAATAAAAAAATTTAAATATTTGTATAATAAAACTTTTTAACATTGGTAAGAAAAAAAAAATATATATATATATATATATTATAAATTATTTAATAAAAAATATTGCAAAAGCCTTTTATTTTTTTTGTCTGTATAGTCTACTAATTTTTTAATAATTTGAGGTTTCTTTTACGGGTCAAATTGGTTTTTAGGTCAAGTTAAACTTGACCCGAGTCAAATTGATCAATTAAAAAACCCTGGTCGGCATCAACATAATTCTGTCCCACCCTAACTATAAAATTATCAATTTGACCTGGATCAAGTTTAATTTGACCTAAAAACCAATTTGACCCGTAATATATATATCATGTGTTAGATCAAATTTTAGAGTTTGATTAGAATTAGAGAAGTTGTCTATATTGACTTACGCAGATATTTTATAGAACATTAAATTAATTTAATTTAAAACTAAAAGTATAAAAAATTTTGGTTATAATAATAATAAGTAAACAGGTTGATTAAAAAAATTGATAATTTTTTGGACCAATAGGACTGCGATACTTAGATCATTAACAGATTATGTAACGTCATTGCAGGTGTATAAAATTGGGGGTTTTTTTTTGTTCGATCTTTCCCTCTTACATTCCTTGTATCGAATCAAGGTAATTCCTTGTGTTTAATCAAGGGTAAGTAATTGATAGATAATGTTATTCATCCACCTACTTATGAGAAATTCATTATAATTATAATTTGAAAAAAAAAAAAGTGATTTTATTTTTTTGAAATCTCATTTTTGATGATAATCGAAAGAAAATTTTTATTAATACATATATAAGATAGAATCAATTAATTAAACAATTGATATTTTTATTTAATCTATTTTTATATAGAGAATGAAGCATAACAACAGACTTCCAAACGGCCATTTCCATAAGGATTGGCAGTTACGTGTTAAAACTTGGTTTGATCAGCCTGGTCGTAAAAAGAGAAGAAGAATTAACCGTATTCAAAAAGCTACTCGAATTGCTCCAAGACCTATTGAACTTTTAAGACCTGCAGTTAGATGTCCAACTCTTAAATATAATACTAAACTAAGAGCTGGTCGTGGATTTACTCTTGATGAGCTCAAGGTTGTATTATGAATTTTTTTTTTTTTTTTCTTATTGGATTTAATTAAATTTCACAATGCAGATATTTTTTTTTGCTCCTTCATTATTGAAATTTGTTATAATTTTTATAATATTTGTCACGGCTATACTTTATTAAATTTGGAATTTTTTTTTTTTTTTTGTTTTGATAGGCAGCTGGAATTCGCCGTAAGGAAGCACTTACTATTGGCATTCCTGTTGATCACCGACGTAAAAATCGATCCGAAGAATCTCTTCAACTTAATGTTGAAAGATTGAAGAATTATATGAGTAAACTTATTATTTTCCCCAAAAAACCTCGTAAACAAAAAGGTGAACAAAAGGATGAACAAAAAATTGAAAATAAAAAGAAAGAATATGAGGTTATTATTCAATTTTATGTTGTTTTTTTTTTTTCCTCTTTTATCGAGAAAAACTTTGTTTATTTTAATATATTATGAATTTTTTAAGGAAAAGAAGGCTGAGTTCGCCACTGCGACACAACATAAAGGACCCGTTATTCCCATCCTACAAGCATTGCCTGAAGAAGAGGCATGTGCCATTACTGATGAAGATAGAGCAGCTAATGCATATATCACATTGCGTAAAGCGAAATCTGATGCTCGTTATGCTGGTGTACGTGAAGCTCGCCGTAAATTAAAAGAAGAGGAGGAAGCTGCTAAGAAGAAGTAATATTTACATTATTATAAAAAAAAAAGTTAGAAAGAAATGTAAATAAATTATTCCTGAAAAAAAAAAAAAAAATAGTAGTATATGAAAAATGAATACAAAAAGAAAAAAAATTTCCTAAATTATTCGGAAAATAATTGTATTCATAAAATACTATTTTAATTTTGAAACTTTTATGAAAATTAATAGTTAAAAAACAATTTAAAAAGCATATTATAGCTCAAAAAAAATTGTTTAATATATGCGTATAAATTTATTTACAGTATTATAAAGTTATACTTATCTGAAAAAATGAATTTTTTTAGATAATAATTCGGAATATACTAAAATAATTTCTTATGAAACTTATTTGACTTGATTTTATATTTAATATTTTAATATCAAAAAAAATTAATTATATATTATATATAGTAACTAATTATATAATTTTTTAAATACTAATTTATCTGATTATTTTATTAGTACCTATATGTAACTTATTATCAATACTAAATATTATAGCTTATTATAATTTCTTATCTATACAATAAACTATTATCAAATTAATAATAATTTCTTATATAGCAAAAAAATAAAAATAAAAATAAAAATTATATATAATAATAGATATTAAGATAATATAGTTCTAGCAATTTATAATTGCTAATCATATATTTAAAAAATTGGAATTTTTCAAAATTCTAAAACTTATTTCAAACAAGATATTTTAAAAAAAACAAAATGATAAGATTGTAAAGCTTATTATAAAGAACAAAATTATTAATTAATTTTTTGAAATAGTATTTTTTTAAAAAAGTTTTAGTAATTTAAAGTTTATATATTTTATGAAATTAAATTAATTATATAAAGATTTATAGAAATCTTAGTGTAGTGGTTAGGTTGCCAGACTGCTATGCAAGAGGTTTGGGGTTCAAATCCTACTGTCGACAAATTTGAATAATTACCCAGACCTTTGTACTCAACTTACGGTAAACCCTGTCTGTTTCTGGAGTTATAACCCTGTAAAACACATTACACTAATATCATTCAGATATTGGAAGTATGATGAAATATTCACAGAGTATAATATTACATGAATAAATCTTAATAGGATCTACAAGCAGAGGACCTACATAGTAGAAATTCTAAGTTGGTAAAGTAGTATAGCTTTCAATTATCATACTGGCTAATACTTGATCTAGAAAAAAACTATTATCAAAAGATGCAGATCAAGTTAGGTATATATAAATTTATTCTATAGAGAGAATTGGTAATACTAACTTGGCTTAGCAGCTAACTAAATTGGAAGAATCTGTCTCATAAAACATCTGAGAAGATAGAATATGAAAAACTAGTAGAGAGCTACAGTAGGAACTAGGGTTGTATGAATATCTGCAAGAGTCTAAGCTAGGTAAATTCATGAAATAGGTATGGACTACTTTAGTAAGATTGCTTATAAGATTAACTGGAGCTCTGTGTACTACAATATATTAAGCAATACATATCCTGAGAGCACCTAAGCTAAGTTAGGTAAATAGATCTGTAATGAGCTGCTGGCTTAAGCAGTTAGATATTATAGTGACGTTAGTTGATTCTAGTATAGGTTAGGTGAACAGAGTATTTAAATAGATAACTCATGAGCAGATTACAGGTATAGCAGCTTGTATAGAACCAAACAAGTAATCTACTTGTATAGCAGACTACTTAAATTAGACAATGACTAAAGTTATACATATGGCAGGTTGTACACTCTTCATATAATTACAAACTGTAAGAAATTATCAACAGACAACCTCATATATTAAACTAATAAAATCCGCTCAGCATAGTAAGCTGCCTTTATTAAAAAAATAAAAAATAAAAAAAAATAAAAAAATTTGAATTTTTTTTTAAAATATAAATAACTACAATTACCAGAAGTAAAATCATTAGTTTTAAAATAAATAAAATAAATTGTATTTTAAAAAACCCTTTTTTTTTATTTTAGAGTTAAAGTGTGACCTAAGGTTTTATTTAGATATAAGTATATGAAAAATTTAGCAAGAAATTTTTTTTGTTATAAAACAAAAGGTAGTTTCATAGGTGAATTTTTGAGATATTAGTATTTTTTAAAAAAATTTTGTTTTTGTTATACAATACGTTATATCTGATCTTGTAAATTTATTAGCTAATATTATACAGGTAAAATTCTTCTGATTAAAATTAGCAATTCTCTAAATAAAATATTTAATTAAGTAGGTTTTATTTTATTTTTTATTTTTTTTTAATTTAGATAATTTTGTTTTTTATTTATTCAAAAATATATTTAAAATATTATTATTACAAGTAGTATAGCTTTTTCAATATATTACAAGAAATATAAAATACATAAGAGAAATTTCTAATAGTATCAAAGTAAAATATTATATTACTATAATAGTTTGTTTAAAGAATTTTTTTTTTAATTTCAACTCATAGGTTGAGATAAAGTCTTGACTTTATCTTTATTAGATAAAATATAGTTAGGAGTTTCTTTTTTTTTTTTTTTTATTGTTTAAGGCGGCTTACATTGCCGACGGGATTTTATTAGTATTTGCATACAGAATTATACATTGATAATCCCTACTGTTTGTAATTACATGAAGAGTGTA